CTGTCGGATATACAGTCGAAAGAAACTATAAAAGTGCACAAGATTCCGTTACTCAAGTCGAGGCAGACAAGGAATGAGGTAGAAGCGATGGTTTGCTGTCCGGGTGTGAACATGCAATCATGCCGAGGCGGTAACTCAAGACTTCGTGCGATCTTACGCAACCGTCGGTATTTCTTCACTTGATGTCACTCGAATCAACATTGTAGTATTGGTTCTTCAAAGAAGAATAACTGAAATACAATATGGAGAGACGAGGGGTCAGCACGATGAAAAGGACATAGGCATGAGCAGGCCTACGCTCGTGTGTGAACGGATTGGGCTACTAGAGTAACTCAGCTGCCTCTTCAGTCAAAATTGCATTGCTAAACACAAGCAGTTATGGAAATTCTTCATCCATTTATGTTGTGACGTAGTCGAAGCCACATTTTCTCAGTTTTTATAGTGAAACATATACTCCGTTGTGTTGACGGCGTCGGTATCGGTAGCAATTGACAACCCGAATCGGTTGCGGAAACCCCGATTACTTGCGATTGACAGCTAAGTAACCAGGGGTATTGGTTATGGCGACAATGTGTTGAGTCATTCGGCGCGCCTATTTGATACAGGAGCTCTCCGAAGCCCAAGAATCACAATCGTGTCAATTTTGTGCCAAGACCGGACAACTGACTTAACATTCAGAATTTAGGCATAAGTTGAAGAGTTTCGAGGCTTTGAACTTGCTGCTTTAGGTAGGTCGAATGAGTGAGCAGCTGATCGTTTGGGGTTCTGCTCACAGCGAGTCATCGGCTTGGCCGAAAGCCCTTCCCTAGGCCTGAAGCTGTTCGTAACAGAAGCACGTCCATAAGACATAGCACTGCAAACTTGGTTTAATGGGCACCGCTCTCTGTGTCGCTTGGAGTATAAAGGCTGCGCCTACCTTTCGAACATGCGCTGGAATAGGCGCATCTTGCCATCTTGGGAGTTTTACGGCAAGTACGAGCAATAAATTTCATTAAGATGTAGATATATAATAGAGAGAGATAGAGACAGAGAGAAAGAAGGAAATCTCTTTACTTCTACACACACTCATTTTCTTCCACTGCCTGCCCAATAAGCAGAATCTCACGTTCATTAAAGACATTCGTTTTCCAACTCTCTCGCAACATCAACCTATTCAAGATGAAAACCACCTTCGCTTTCCTCACCTTGCTTCTGTATGTTGGCGTCACCTCGCAATCAGCCTTGTAACAATAAGTTGGCGATCATTACTAACTCCTCTAGCGCGGCCACCGCAAGCGCTGACAAGCACCGTCTCTGTGCCTGCCGTGATCACGGAGCCACAGTAACCAGCGAAGAATACACCAAAAGTGTCGTCTACGCCTCCAGCGGCAAATTTGTGTTCAGTCAGTTTGCGAAGTCTCTGTGATGCGCCCCCTATGCTCGACACTAACACCCTCACAGGTGGAAAGAAGTGGACCAAAGACGATGGGGCGGAGTTCGAAGGAGTATACGTAGGCTCTTATCAATTCCTAAGCATATGGTGTTGTTGCTAACCACAGAGTAGTATCATGCCATCGAGGGCTCGGTCAACGGCGGCGAAGACGACGGCTGGGTCGGCGGCAATGAGTCGTTCCAGCTCTGTAGACCCCTAAAGGAGGGCCGTGGGTTCTCACATGAGCAGAGCACATGCTTCACGCCCAAGGACGGCGTCGACTGGCGGGACTGTGGCGCTGACGGGAACTGCTTTACTTCCAAGGCTGCCAAGACTGACGGATTTGGAAAGCCGGTGGCTTGAGCAGCCAAGAGCTAGACACAATTCGACAGCTTCGTTCTAGGCCTAGTAGCATTATATATATATAAAAAGATGTACACGTATGTTTATGTTCCTCGCCTCTGTGGCGAGCGATCTAGACGACGCGCTTTCCGATGAGATGCTCAACCAAGACGTTCCCGAAGTTGATCTAAGCAGTACGCCAGCTCATACTTGCTCCTTGTGCATGCAAACACGAACATATCTGGACGTAAGACAACGAACTTGGCAGAGGAGCCTAGGCGAGCAAGATACGACGTGCTACTGTATCCAGGAGCCAGTGGTGCCTCGACTTCAGAGGTTGGTACAGGCGAGAAGAACTCCCACTTGCTCTGTTCTTCTTTCGAGAGGTCATACGTTGTGTCGGACTCTCCACCCTGTGCATTATAGATGACGATGGATTCTTCCGACAAGACATCTGGGTCCAAAGATGCTCCCGAGATAGCTTCTTTAGCTTCCGCATACGACTCGCTCGTCTCCGTTGAATCGCCGTTGCTGACGAGAAGAACCGTGAAGATGGTACCACACTGGCGGAGCAGGTCGTCAGACAAAACCGGCGACTGGCTAAGCGAGGAGCGGACGTGTATCTGCGCCAGCCGGGCACCACCGTTGTAAGCTTTGAGAAAGAACCCGCCAGCAACGCCACAGAAACCACGCCGCTCCTGCTGGGCCACCAGATCGTACCCACGAAGCATGGGGATCGAGTTGATGAACCCATGCAGCTTCGCCAGCGCCATGATCCACAGAGTTGGCTGGCTGTTGCACACGGTGCCGGAGACCATGGACATATTCGCGGCGTCATCCACGCTGTGACGGCGCTCAGCGGCCCACGATTCTAGAATCGCAGTGTTGGTTTCCGGGTCCGCGTCGGTGCGGAGGAGCAGGGCCAGCCGCCATGCGAGTTGGTGCGCATCGCGCACGCCGCTTGCGATGCCCTGGCCGGCGAACGGCGGGAAGACGTGGGCCGCGTCGCCGATGAGGAGAGTGCGCTTGTCGTACCACCGATTGACGCACTTGTGAACGAACTTGAAGGGACGACAGCGCAGGATCTCGATGCAGTCGCGGGGATACTCGACGGCCTCGTCGAAGCGGTGGCCGCGGAAGGGGTCTTCTCTGAGGGTGATGCTTTGGGAAATGTGTTCCCAGAAGAGCTCGTCCGGGTATATCGGGCCTCCGAACTCGTCGACACGGAACTCGTGGCGCCATGTTCGGTCGGCGTGGGGACCGAATCTGCCTGTTGCGGTTGGTCTGCCGGGCGGACTGCAGAAGTGCCAGCCCACGGGCCAGAATAGATCGTAGACCTCGTCGGGGGTGTATCCGTACTTCCAGAGCGGGAAGTTCGGGTGTGTCTGCGGCGTCGGGACGGCCATTTTGAGATTGGCGGCGACCCATACCCCTTCGTAGGGGTAGACGCCGGCCTCCTGCTTGATCCCGGCCGTGGGTTCCAGGAAGTGTTTGCGGACGATGCCCGTTTTGCCGTCCGCGCCAACGAGCCATTGTCCTCTGATGACGCGGCGAGACTTTTGGGCGTCCAAGTATTCGACAGTCGGCGGCACCTCAGTAGACCTTCCGATCACCGTGCAATTTGTACGTAATGAGCAGTAGCTGGTCTTCTCGATCGCGCGTCTCAGAGCGTGCTCTTGCAAGGTCAGGTCAGCACAGAAACAACGACCTTCCAGGGGACAAGATCAATCGAACCTAGTTTGGGCTGGTTTTGCAGAAAGCCTTCGGGCACACACTGTTCGAGGCTGTTGGAGGTGGTGATTTCCATCCGGTAGAAAGGGGTCGTGTTGAAGGTTGAGTGGTGGAAATTGACATGAGGCGGCTCTTTTTGTTTCCATGGGTCGTCAGCCAGAGCTTTGCTTTTGGCGATCAACTCGCTGTACCTACCGTGACCGACTTGATTCATTTCATGACCGATTTCGATGGCGTGAAAGATCCTTACAGCATCTCCTGTGAGCCAAACGCCTCGCGGATCCGTTGTCACCTCTGCCGCCTTTTCTAGAATGACTGACTGTGCGTCTGAAAGTCAGTCCAAGTCGAACATTTCGTACCTGAGAATCGTCGCGAAACCGACGTCGAATTGTCTAGCTTACATGAATCTGATGTTGCGCCAACGACAATCCTAAAGCAAGGCCAGCGGGTCCTCCCCCGACAATGACGACCTGTGTCTCCTCCATGGTATCCAGATCGTGTTTTGCGCTCGTCGTGCGGTCAATCAAGTAGCTTCGGTGTTGATTTGACTGATCCATGGCATTGCAATCCCACGAAACCGAAAACAAGAGCCCTCAAATATAAATCATTCTCGAATCGCGCGAGCCAACTGCCTCTCAACGTTGGGGTCATCGCACTTACACGCGTTGCTCTCAAACCCCACCTTTCCCGAGGTACCTAAGACGAGCCGAACCGCTGATGCCGAATCTAGCCATTTTGACTAGCGAACCGCCAATCAGAGATGTTCCGCGGGATATCTCACAGAAACCTTGTCCAGCGATGCGGTGGTGTGGATCCTCCGACGTTGTCCGTGGCAGTCCATCCGAAGTGGCAGACTTTAGTGACATGCCGCGGCAGACGGAGCTGATCCCGCCAATGGAGGGTCAAATACCTTATTTCAGCGGTGGCAGCTCCGAAAATCCCGTAAGAGGAGCAATGCAGGGCCTGTACCCCGACGATCATGGAGATGCGCCTATCACATAAAGTCTATCGGTCACTGAATCTCTTGAAAGACCGTCTTGGCGCCCAATTGAAAGCCGTCGACTGCTTTCCTGCCTGCCGGAAGTGCTGGACAAATTTTCCCGAGCTCGCCGGCGCTGTGACCCACAATCTCCGCAGCCGACTCGGGGCCACTCCGTCCCGGTGGAGCTTGCACGGCAATATCTCCGTGAACGATCCAGAGGGGTAAGATCAACGTCATAACAAAGCTGTGGCCGAAGTTTGAGCAAACTTACAGCGGAGAGTAGATTATGATTGAAAAAAGGCCTGTATGGGATCTGCAGCGTTTTCAAAAGGCCCACTACTTTTCCGCGCAACTATTCCTTTGCCCCGTAGTCTGAATCTAATAGTAGCAAGTTTCGACGATTGACATGATCAGAGCCCTGAACTTCCAATTGAAATCTCCACAGTCTAGACAGTAACCAAGCCCTGCCTCCATGAACTACTTCCTTGAGCGCCCCAAGCGGTTAAGCTTGAATTGACGAGAAAAGAACCAATTCTACTCAACGTGTTAGCCGCAACCATTACTACGTGAATGATAGAGCACTTTGGGTATCACATACCAAAAACCACAAAGGTGAAAAGATGACAATCAGATTGAGTATCCACGCCAGCTTCCCCTCCCATATCTCATCCCGCTTCCGCTTCCGGAGCAGCTGCTTAACAACAGACTCAGCATACGCCCGCGCAGGCATGCCGTTCTGGTTCCCCTCGAACTTGATCCGCTCAATGTCCTTCTTGATCGCGAGATACGGCGAATCCTTCGGGGCGTCGAGGCCATGGTGGAGGAGGTTGCTGCGCACGAACCCGGTGACGACCTCGACGACCTCCACCCCGAAAGGCTGCACCTCCTGAGCTCGCATTAGGCAAGACCATCTACATCACAAGAAACCAGAACTCACCAGTCGCAACGTCTTCGTATACTGGCTCAACGCCGCCTTGGACGCATTATACACACACTGCCACGCCACCGGCACATCCCTCGTCACGCTCCCAATCTGCACGATCCGCCCGCGGGGCGCCTCGCACAGATACGGCAGGAACAGCTGACACAGCCTCATCACCGCAAACACCTTCTCCGCCTCCGCGATGTCGAGCTCCAGCGCCGTCGCGGCGTAATGCGTGCCCGCGTTATTGACCAGCACGTCCAGCCGGCCGCCCGTGCGCGTGAGCACGGCGTCGCGGAAGGAGTCCAGGCTGGCCAGGTTGCCGAGCTCGAGGGGTAGGGGGATGATGTTGTCGTGGCGCTCGGTGAGGTGCGCGAGGGAGGAGGTGTGCCGCGCGGTTGCGACGACAGTGAAGTTGCGCGCGGCGAAGGCGAGGGCGAGGGATTCGCCTATGCCGGAGCTGCAGCCTGTGATGAGGACGACGGGGCGGGGGGTAGGTGTGGGCATTGTTGGGGCTGGAAGGATGCGAGTTGTGAGATCGTCTCAACAAGTCGGTTTGGTATCTTGGTCTGAAAGTATGGGACGTGCTCTGGAGGTCATTTGTAGGACATCCACTGGTTGACATGGAGGTGGTGGCGAAGGGGAAGATGCTCCGACGGTCCCCGCTTTCCCGGCGCCGGGGTCCGGGGGGTTAGGAGTTGCTCCGACGGAGAAAGCTCCGTCGGCGTAAATGCTCGACAAACGTAATAACACCGAACAATTGGTTTGACGGAAGATCAGATCGCTCACATGGCAATGGATGGCATTTAGATCTACCCAATTCAGCCCGCGGCCGTGAGCTACACATCTTAATAGAATTTCCAAGCACCCGGCCTCGGCGGCATTCCCTCGCGTCACCGACCGTCCGCGGCCGTCAAATACTCCAAGTAAACCCCCAAATCCAACACCCTCACCCCGAACGCATTTGAACCACCATCCTCCCCCCTTTCCAAGCCATGTCGCTGGCACTCCAACTCATCGTCACCGTCCTCGCAAAGCTCCCCAAACCAATCCGAGAGGCCATCCTGCCCGACATGCGCATCCCGCCCATCGCCAACGACCCCTCCAAGGTGCAGCTCGCGCGCCCGGGACACATCTACGTCGACCACCCGGACCTGGACGAGTTCTCCAAGTTCGCGGCTGACTTTGGCTTCGTCGAGGAGGCGCGCGCAGGGAACGACACGATCTACTACCGCGGCTACGGCCGGGACCCGTACGTGTACGTCGCGCGGAGGAGCAAGGACGGCAAGCCCCGGTTCTGCGGCGCGGCATTCGTGGCGGCGTCGCAGGAGGAGTTTGACAAGGCGGCCAAGATGGAGGGCGCACGGGTGGGCTCGATTGAGTATGCCCTTGGCGGCGGAAGTATCGTCACGTTCAACAGGCCGGATGATATGTTCTTCCATGTTATATATGGCCAGAAAGAACGCGAGCCGGAGCCGCAGGAGCCATCTGCTACTCATGAGGAGGTGGGCCCGTTTAACAAGCCATTCAGGAAGCCGAGACAAGGTAAGCATAAAACAAGCCCCCCTCGATATCAGAGCGCAAACGCCGTTGCTTACAAGGTCCCTCTCAGGGGCCTTCCAACGCTACCACCCTGGGCCGGCCCTCGTCCACAAACTAGGCCACTACGGCTACGTCGTCCCTGACTTCGACAACGAGCTGGCCTGGTACACATCCCACTTCAACTTCGTGCCGTCCGACATCCTGCACCACTGGGACTTTGACAACATGGACGTCATGACCTTCATGCACCTGGACCTCGGCGAGGACTTCTCGGACCACCACTCCTTCTTCATGCAGCGCGCGGAGCCGCACGTCAAGAAGGCCTTCTGCCACCACACGTCCTTCGAGGTGGCCGACTTCGACACGCAGCTGCTGGGCCATGACTGGCTCGCCAAGCGCGGGTGGCACAGCGTCTGGGGCGTCGGCCGGCACGTGCTGGGCAGCCAGATCTTTGATTACTGGGCGGACCCGAGCGGGTTCAAGATCGAGCATTATGCGGATGGGGATGTGGTGAACAGGCACACGCCGACGTCGAGGGACGTGGTGGGGCCGTTTTCGATCTGGGGCCCGGAGATTCCAAAGGACTTTGGGGAGAAGATTCCGAAGGATTGGCCGGTGAAGAAACTTTGAGGGGGCCTTTTTCGTGAGTCGGTTTTCGTTCTAGGTGGGCGGCTGTTTGGTGTCTGGGCGATTGGTTAGGAATGGGAGATTTGTAACGAGAGATGCTCAGAACGAATGACAGGCTGTACCTACAGAACGTGATGTTATGGGAAGATGGATCTCTGGAGGCCTCGGCATACGTTCATTATGAATACGCAAATGGAACCCATGGAACTCCCTTTCCGCTCTGAAAGGGGTCTATGTTTACCTTCGTGTGTCGCTGAGGGCCACCCGCCAACCACGAGTTTCTCAGGCAGCTGTTCAGGAGGGCTAATCAACAACTCCCTCAGACTTTTCCGTAACGTCACACCTATGACTGGCAATTCTCGGCGTGCAAAGCATTGGAGGTCAGGAACTGCAGCCACCTAGGATGCAGCGGACTTTGGAAATGGAGAAACACGGCACGGACTTGTTGGTATCCGACAGGGCCGTTAAGAGACTCTTTGAAGCTCTTGAACGAGACTTTCCAAGAGTGATGTTAGTCGACAAATAGCCCACTTCAACCATGCGCAGCAACGCGATCGAATACAGCAGTACTGAAGAGAAGGATGGGATCGACTCACGAATCAGGAGGCGCGGCATAGTCCACGACTTGGCGAACTGCTCCAGGAAAAGCAACAAAACCGTCTCGCAGTGCTCAATCTCAGTACGCAGGTCATCACCAATCTCAGCACCAGCATTACCGTTAAACTTCAGGTGCAAATCCAAAAAGATGAGCGCGATGAACGCGATGATGGACACGGCCGGGTCGACGCTGAGGAAGAAGCTGCTGTTCCACTGCTTGGCGATGGCCGCCACGTCTTGGCAGAGCTCCAGGACCTGCTGCCACTTGAGCAGCCAGGCGCGCTCCTCCGCCAGGCGCCGGCAGTTGACGAGCGTCATGAGCATCTGCGCCATGTGCAGGTGCATGGCGGTGACGAGGCGGAAGTGGTGGGCCGCGGCGGACTCGTTCGCGAAGGCGTTGCGGCGGGGGTTGAAGAGGTTCCCCGGCAGGGCGAGACGGACCTCGGAGATGCGCCGCTCCGTGTCGGCGACGACTTTGGCGCAGTCGTCCTGTCTGCCGAGGACGTGCAATCGGAGGGCCCGGCCGGCGTGGCGCAAGACGGTGATGCTGATGATGTGGATCTCGAGGCCGAGAGTCTGCCGAGGGGAGTCTGATAGTAGCTTCTGAACGAGATTGAGCAGGCCGTCGTGGCGGTATGGTAGGTAGCATGCTCGGTCCTGGTTCGTTGGCAGGCCTTGTGGGAGGGCGGTGTTGATGAGCCCCTCGTCGATTTCATAGGGCATCCCCGTGGAGACACTGGCGTAGGAATCGAGGGCGTAAATGCACCACCAGACCAGACGCCATTCCTCCAGCCTATCTTTGCTCAATATCGTCCACGGCGGGACGATCTCGTGCAACCTGTCCAGTTGGTCCAAACCAGTCCAGTGCGCCAACCGGGTGAGTTTGCCGATGCGGGTCCATGCCTGCTGGCCAGGGAACTGGTGGAACTCGTAAAAGGCAAGCAGGCAGAACTTTCGGAACTGGTCGAGAGTTGGCGTGTCACCGGCGATGTCCTCTTGCAGGGACACGGAGCTGAGGATCTGGTCGATGTGGGCGTTGAGTTCGGACGAGTCAAAGGATGTGCTGACGAAGCCGGACAGCTTGGCCGCGATGACGACGAGTGTCTGGACAAGATCGCGACTGCAGCCCGACACGACCTCAACACCGGCACCATCGGATGGAGTATAGGGGAAGACAGGGAACGCATGGTTGATTGTGTCGATGTACCATTCCAGTCTTCGGAGGAATTCCGGTCAGCAGAGTCTTGGTAGAGAGGGACAGGAAGTTCGTACAGAGACCTCTCATCTTCAGGCGAAAAGTTCAACGGTCCCGAATGGGAGGCTGTGGCGGTCTGTAGCTCTGTCGTTGCCGGGGTCGACGTTATCGGGGGTGTGGGCGGTTCTGTGGTGTGGCTCGGAGGGCCGGGCGAAGAGGGCAACGGCGACTCTGGAGACGGTCAGCAAAACGGCCAACGGTGTAATTCCGGACGGCGGACGGACTATCCGACGGCGCGGGTTTATCATACGTACCGCGGGCATCGCGTCTATTCGGCCGATGCGACAGAGATGGACGTTGAGATCCACGCTTAGTTCCGGGCAGAGGTCCAGGCCGTCGACGACTGGAGGAGTAAGTGCACTGGTGCCCCCGCTCCAAGCATCGGGAGCACTTTGGTCGTCTGAGGTCACCTGCAGAGACGGGTTGCCTCGGAATCAGCCTAGGGTCGGAGGCGAAGCTGATGCCATCATTCTGCGCGAGACTTACACTTGACTTTCTGGCTGAAAAGGGAGGACTGTCAGCGAGGGACGATGGTTGGTTCAATTGGGGACTGTGCCTTACCGGATGCAGTTGTCACAGACCCGAGGTCTGGCATCGCTGTCTGTGTCTGCCCCGCGCGGAGGGGCAACATCGGACGACGACATGATGGGAGATGCTCCGTCGTCAAACTCTGGGGAAGCGGGGACGGCGAAGACGGCCGTAGCGCGTTATTCCGGCCTGGCGATCGAAAGTGCCGAATGCCACCACCTCTGATCTGGGTTTCCGGGGACGGGGCGAGGCGCGCGGCACCTGAGTAGCTAGGATGGAGCCCTCGGTGGAACTCGAAGACGGAGGGATTGATTTCCAGGGGTCAGAGATACCATGGGGAGAAATATTTGTGTTGGGAATCGTCGGCGTATCTATGAGCATGTGAATATGAGTGTGAAAAACGAAGGTTTCGAGGGGAAGATGACTTCGGAGTAATTGGCGTTGGCTGAAGACTTAAGGGAGTGGTAGCGCCGGGGGCCCCGCTTGGAGGCAGCAGCTGAAGTTGCCCCGATGGCCCCAGCGGAGCTTGCGGGCACATCAAATGCTCCGATGCGTTCTGAGGGCCTCCACTACCGACAATTCCGGCTCCCGGGCTTGAGCACCGTGAACTGCAACAATAGAGTTGTGCTGGATGATATATGAGCCCTCGAGATGTAAGCATGTAAGAATTAACATCAAGCAAAGTACACTGTGTTTTCAACTGCCGCCAAAATGTCGTCCTTTTCCCACCTTGTCCGTTTCGAAAGCGAAGAAGATGGCGCTGTTTACTTTGCCGATCTGGGCCCCGATGCGGATGGACCGCCGTCGCCCGGCGCAAAGCTCAGCGGCGCCAAAACCATAGAAGCTCTTGCACAAAAGTCCGAAGAAGACATTGTTACTGTGCGCCGTGTAAGTCTCTTTGCTTTGTTAAGTTTTTCAACTAATCATTCATTCGCTCTTTCCACCAATGGTTTAACACAGAGTTCGCGCGCTAACACTGAGAATAGCTCCTACCACCTCTGCCTCGAGACGGGCTCCCGATATACTGCGTCGGCCTCAATTACCGAAGTCACGCCAAGGAAGCCAGTGTCAGTCTTCTCATCTAGCGATCGTAATTACCATCACCACTGACTAACAACTTTCGTGGGACTCAGCTTGACATCCCAGCATGCCCGCCCCTTTGGACGAAGCCAGCCGCGGCGCTTGCGAGCCCCGGAGAGGAAATCCCCGTCAACGACTTCTGTGCCAAAAGTCTCCTGGACTACGAGGTAAGGAGACAAGCCTATATTCATTGCAGACCAACACGGCATAACCTGACACATTCATTGTGCAATTAGGGCGAGCTCGTCTTCGTCACGTCAAAGGACGCCAAAAACGTATCCGTCTCCGAGGCCAAGAACTACATCCTGGGATACACCATCGGCAACGACCTCTCCTGCCGCATGTACCAGCTACCGCGCTACTCGGCCGGGCAATTCTTCTTCGCCAAGGCCTTTGACAAGTTCGCGCCCATCGGCCCGACGCTCATCAGCCCGGCCGTCTTCGGGGACGGCTCCTCCTTCGACGTGGTGACCAGGGTCAACGGAGACGTGCGCCAGACGGCCGAGTTCGCGAAGGACCTGATCTTCAGCCCGGAGAAGATCCTCAGCCATATGAGCCAAGGTACGTTAGGTTGTGGGTGATGTGCGTCTCGAAGCGGATGACTAATTGTCGTGCAGGAACCACCATCCCGGCGGGCACGGCGGTGATGACGGGTACCCCGGCGGGCGTCGGGGCGTTCCGCCAGCCGAAGAGCTTTCTACAGGACGGCAATGTGGTCGAGGTGGAGATGAAGAAGGTGGGCGTTTTGAGGAACAAGATCAAATTTGAGTGAGTGAATACTCTCGGGGTGATGAGCGTTTTTCTATCAGTGTTCATCAAAGACTGATTGAGGACTCTGTGAAAAGAGTGGGCCTGCTCACACGAGTGATCTTGTTCATACAATGGGCTGTAATTTCTCTCGTCACTAGGTAGGCCGATAGAGGCAATATAAGGTAGCTATCAATCAACTTCTCGTGCAGGAGAAATTACGCTCTCAAGGATGTCTATTCAGGGCAGCAATGAGGCAAGAAACTCCCAGAGCTGCACGTGTGATACAAACCGAAAGAGAAACAATGAGCTTCAATAGAAGCAGCCCATCGCAATCCACTCTGAGCGCTTCAGTTGCCAGCTGGCCCCGGTTCCAAGGCAGAACTGTCGACTAGAGCAACTAATACCAAGTAGGAAGTTAGGCTATCGCGAGTTTGTTCCCAACCTCACCTTCTCCTCCGAGTTGTCCTCATTGCTTCTACGAGTTCCCGTTCTCGGACAGAATCTATCACAGCTGGTTGTTTTCGGCAAGTCAACGCGTTGTTGCATGCTGCGTCAGATCCTTTCATTGTAGGGCTCAGGTTCATGATAACTGACAGCTCGGCAACATTCCGTGAGTACGGTGGACCGATTCAAGAGTTTCTGCCTACAGTGCTAAGCCCTTGGCATCTCTTGGCGAACCGAAACGAACTCCTACGGGTCTATCCGTAGCTTGGTAAGCGCTAGCTGCTGACAACATTGAAATTTGAAGCCGTTTCGGTGTAGGATGGCACGAAGATACTCATGATTTTAGTCCACGAAATCCTCTACTTGGGTTTTGAAGGACTGCCCGTAGGTGTAGAAAGAGATAGAAAAAGAAAAATACCGCCCTTGAAGCGGAAGTAAGCGAGCATCGCACCGTTTAGAAGATCTGGCGATAAGATCAAACATAATTCTCTAGTTGACAGCAAAAACCCGCAACTTAGCTATTACTTCAACCCGGCGATTTTATCTATCTGCTCCTATGGTGGCAGATGATTCAGTCTGCGACTTTCCAGTAGCCTATTGCTCATGTTATCAAAATTCAAGACCTGGATAACCTTCTTCCTTCCAAATGGGGCTTGGAAGGAGTACGAGATTCTTCTTTCAGGCACATATCCGGAAAGCACAGGGGCTCTGGTTGATGATTCTGTTTTCTACGCAGCTCCTGAGAAGAAACAGGCGACCTAACCGCCGATGTCAAGGGGTTACTCCCCCGCAGCAATCTGCTTGGCTGGCCTGAAGAGGGTTCGATATGTAAATGATGCATGAGGCAAACGTGATAATATGAACAAAGGACGGAAGTTCTTCCGCCTCGCAACATGTAGCTTGAAAGGGAACCGAATTTTGAATGAAGTATAGGGCAGGCATGATACGATGCAGACGAAAGTTCTTCTCCCTCGCCTAACTCAGGGAGAGTCGGGAGAAAGGAGAGTGCTTCACGATACATTGGCATTCTACCAGTGGCTCATAAGTATAAGAAGAGAGAAAACTCCCGTCAAACCTGATCATCGCCACTCTACAGTTCTCCACGACCAAGTCACACAATCATATAGCCTTCCATCCCACAAACCTCTTCCCAAGATGAAGTTGACTCTTCTGGCTGCCATCCTGGCCTCTTCCAAGGTCCGTCCATCTTCATCCACCATGCTTTCCTATCTACTAAACCCCATCTCAGGCACTTGTATCCGCCGCCCCTGAAGGCGTCTCCTTCGTCAAGGCATCGTCTCTCTCCCAGCGAGACATCAACAACGCCGTCCCCCTGACCTTCATCGGCCAGGCCTTCATCGACGGGCCCAACGTGACACTCACCGGCACCGCCGAGACCATCTACCACCAGCTTCTCGAGATCAACCCCGCGTACAACGAGTGGGACTTCCCCGAGTACCGCGAGCGCATGGGCGCGCTCGGGTTCACCAAGGAGTCGCTGCTTGACTTTCAGCATGCGCCGTCGGCTGATGCCAGCAAGCTGAGGAAGCGCCAGCATGTGAGCCAACAACCCCATCCCATCGCAAGTTCCCGCAAAAGCACATGTACTCACATTATCACCATCATAAAGACCACGTGCAACCCCGTTGGCGAAGAAGTCGGCAACTGGGGCCTGCAATGCAACGAAGGCCTGGGCTACCTCGGCCGACTCAACGGGTACTGTCAAGCTCCCGCCGGACGTGGTGGATGCGCGCGCACCAGTTGCTCGCACGGTTGCGGTATCTTCCTCTGCAACGACGTAAGTACACACTGTCTTTATTCATCCAAGCATCTAGAGATGCCCGGAATGCTAACGATGAAGCAGAACCCCAACCCGATCTCGGTGTGGTGCGGCAACCAAGTCGGGGACGTCTACGACATCGCAGCCGTGTGCGAGCGGGAGAGGACCTCGTACGTCTGGTCGCTGCTGGGCCAGATCTTCCGCGACGGGCCGCCGGCCTGGAACACGGTTGTCAGGGCCCAGAATTGCTAAGCTTTGGACCTCAGAAGGCAGCTATATGCAGGAATTCTGCGGGATTTTACGGTTTCTCCTTTGAGTACGGGGCTGGGAAAGTAAGACCGTTGAAGAGGAGATCATGGTCCATTATTTCATTCTTGGGTGAATAAGTTATTGAGTGATAGATAAGGTGTTATGGGAGACATGTCAATTGCATCGATTAATTCTTCGACGTTCTTCTCGGTTTGAACCCCTTTAGGAAGACATTGAAGGACCGACTTCAAAGGGACAATAGAAATCGATACTATATCGGGCAGAGACACATCTGTGCTATTCAAACAGCCTACAAACACATGCGCACGCACCTATCGGAGAACTCAGGGGGTTGATGTGTTGAGAAACGACTGATTAGAGTAGCGGATTGATAAGACGTCGTTTCGTTTTTTAGTAGTTTATGACTATGATGCTAGCAATTGCTACTAACATTTGAGAAAAGGTAGTATGCGGGGCCGGAGACGAATGGCGAATGCCCGGTGTTGCATCCGGAACGGTGGACCGTAGCTGTGCACACATCGGGCTCCGACTACCGTCGCCGGCCTGGTGACGGTGACCGAGGAGCTTCTTGGGATGACTGAGAGTGTTGATTTAGGGGGGGAGAAGTGCCGTGGCCGCCAGAATTTGGCACAATAGGTTTGACGGGTGTCACCGCCGGCTTTCTCATTAAGCCGACCTCCCGTTTCCTCACCGGACACGGATTGCTACCGCCATCAGTGACAATTAGAAGCCCACGTTATCAAGCCCGTCAATCCTGGTTTCAGAAACCCAACAATTTCGAGTCCCCTAGAGTTACTAGATCCCATTTCTGCACCTCGTTGGGAACCGACAGTTGAGGAACTGCGTATTGAGCCAATGGCGGAGTAATCCATCCCTGGCGCTTCTGCCTTCTTCTTCGACCCCTTGTTGGTATCGGGAGCTCAGCTAAGCAAGGATGCTTCGCCAGGAGGGTGCTTCAGAACCAACGGAACCCCGTTTAGGAAGGTGGTTTTGGTCACCGACTGGTGGGGTATCGGGAGTGAGCCACTAGTGCGCCGTGGTACCGGCAACGGCCCCACTCTCCGCTCGCCGTGCGGCCGTACCTACTGCAGCGAGGATCAATCCGCAGTCCACGGGCAGATAAGTTGTTGGCTCAGATTTCTCGATTTTATTTTTCAATCCACCTTCTTCATCTCAACATTAGCATCGACTTAGAGGATCATCTCACGATCATTGGTGCGAGGGCATCGTTCAGCCAAGACTCGCGCACTCTGAGCGCGACAACACCAGACCGCGGCGATCTTGTTCATGGCTCTCGCAAAACTCGGGATTCAATCGTTTCGTACGCACGCGACCGTGGAAAACCAAACCCATAATGTCCGGGGACGCACTCAAAGCCACCGAAGGCCTCGCCGTTGAGAATGGCACGGATCCAGAAACGGACGGCGTGAAAGGAGAAGTACCACGCGATCCAACCATTATCGACTTTGACGGCCCCGATGACCCAGAACACCCCCTCAACTGGTCAACAACCAGAAAGACGACCACCATCGTCATCGTGTCCCTGACCGCCCTCCTCTCGTAATGCTGAGTCTCAATCTAAACCCAGTCGTCATACACCACAATTCCCAAAAACTGATTAGCATTTCCCGCCCTTCTGCTAGACCCATCGGCTCAACCATCAGCGCCGCCGCGGCCGCCGACATCATGCACCACTTCAACACCACAAACGCCACCCTCGGCGCCCTCATGACGACCATCTACCTCCTCGGCTACGCCTTCGGGCCCCTCCTCATCGCGCCGCTCTCCGAGCTCCACGGCCGCGCCCCCGTCTTCCGCGCCTGCGCTGCCCTCTTCGCGCTCTTCAACGCCGCCTGCGCGCTCGCGCCCAGCTTTGGCTCCCTAATCGCCTTCCGCCTGCTCGCCGGCGTCGCGGGGTCCTGCGCCGGCACGCTGGGCGCGAGCGCCATCGCGGACATGGTGCCGCGCGAGCGCCGCGGGCGGGTCATGTCCGCGTACGTCATGGGCCCGACGCTGGGGCCGACGATTGGGCCGATTATCGGCGGGAACCTGACGGCGGCGGCGGGGTGGCGGTGGGATTTCTGGGTGATGGCGATCGCGGCGGGGGTGATGGCTGTGTGTGTGCTGCTCTTCCTGCACGAGTCGTATCCGTACGCGATACTGAAGAGGAAGACGGCAAGGTTGCGGAAGAGTACGGGGAATGAGGGCCTGAGGTCGGCGCTGAATACGAGCAAGACGCCCGGGCAGCTGTTCAAGTTTGCGATCCTGCGCCCGCCGAAGATGCTTGTCTCGCCGATTATTTTCTTGATGTCAGCGTACGCTGCGACGGTGTTCAGCTATGCCTACCTCTGCTTTACGACGTTTCCGCGCATTTTCAAGGACCAATACGGCTTTGGCAGCGGCGCTTCCGGGCTGACCAGCATCGGGATCGGAGTCGGTTTCATCCTAGGCCTCTTGTTCGTCGGCGCCGTCTCCGATCCCTGGTCCGCATACCTCACAAAGAAGAACGATGGCGTGGCCAAGCCCGAGTTTCGACTGCCCACGTTAGTCATCGGCGCCGTCTTCGTCCCCGTGGGTCTGTTCTGGTACGGGTGGTCGGCCGAGTACAAGGCGCATTGGATTGTGCCCATCATGGGAACCGCACTCCTGGGCATCGGCATCGTGACAGCATATGTGGGTTTCTCTCATATCGTCACCGTTGGCAGCAAGGCTGATCAACGTTTCATTTGCAGACAACCACCGCTACATATCTCATCGACGCCTACACGGTCTACTCCGCCTCAGTCATGGCCGCGAGCGCCATCCTCCGCTGTCTCTTCGGAGCGCTGCTCCCTCTGGCTGGCAGCGCCATGTTCGACGCCCTGGGGGTAGGTTGGGGCAACTCGGTCCTCGGGTTCATATCGCTTGCCTTTCTTCCGCTGCCGTTCATACTCTTCTTTTACGGCGGAAGAATCCGCGAGTCGAAGCTTTTTAAGATGGAGTTTTAGCGTGTTTGGATGGCAGTGCTCTATTTAATATGCACAATCAAAATGTGGCCATCCTCAATACACCTTCGACCTAGCCTTTACTCATCTCCGCCAAGAACAGCATACTTAACCCCATCCAACAACTTAATATCCGTGTCCAGCCCCGCCTTTTCGAGCTTCATCTCGTGCTACATCATCACCACATTACGGCACTCCTGCGCTTGGTGTTGGAGGAGGTGGGCAGGGTGGAGGTGAGGGAGTCGGTGTTCAGAGCGCTGGTATCGAGAGACTCGGTGTTGAGGGCGGTGGTGAGGGTGTCGGTGTTTAGAGAGCTGGTGTCGAGGGCGCTGGTGTCAAGGGCGCTAGTGTCAAGGGCACTGGTATCAAGATCCTCGGTATCGACAACCCGCCTCTGAACAGGGAGTTTAGGTTCGGAGACGTCTCCGACACCACCCTCGTCACCCTTATCCGCCGACGTCCACTCCGTAGCGTCAGGAATCGCAGCGTCGTTGGCCTGGGCGGGGACCGCAAGGGCCGGGTCCTCGAGCTCTTCCATTGTGGGGATGGAAGCGTCGTCGGCCAAAGCGGGGCCGTCGGCCGGGACGGGGGCGGGGACGGGGATTGCGAGGGCCGCACAGGCTAGGGCGGCGATGAGGAGCGCTCTGACCATGGTTGCAATTTCTGAGATGGAAAAGAAGTACTGATATTGAAATTTTCAAAGAGATTCAAGGAGCGTTCTGAAGAGAAATTGTGAAAAGTCCCCGAGTAGGTCAAGATTCTGTTGCTCGTCGGACGCGGATTTCTTATGGGGTATGCTTGGCTTAAATACTCTCTGTCCAACGTGCTTCAGGACAAGAGGATGAAAATGTGCCATGTACTGATGGCCTGTTCAATCCAAACATCATCTAGTGAGTGGAAATAGCCTTGGCGATGCAACGTCGGCTGATGAGACTGTTTGGCGGAGGCGCGAATCGCGTGCTGATCACGACGTCTGGATGTCCGGTATTTAGATATGCAACGCTTTCTTTCCATCGGACTTTCGATAGAATTAGCGTTTTGAGACCTTTTTACAAGACCGCTTTGGAAGAGAGTCTGTTTGAATTCTCCAGAAGAAAAGCTGTTGCTTCTGGCGCTCAACGGCCGACGGCGCCATGACTGAAACATGGCGTTCGACATCGACACCTTCAACCTCAAATAACCTCCACAGGCTCCCGACTTCTTGGAATAACGATGAGCCCCCTACACTTTGTGAACATTCATGTTTCAACGACCGAATAAGTGGCCTTGGCAAGTCCGCAACACGCCTGTCATCAATCTCTCCAACTACAGCCCGAAAACAGCATATTGAGATAGCCAAATATTCAAGACCAACTCACAAGGCCCCAAATTCTCAATATCGAGGCTTCGAAGCATCTCTTTTGAGGTTCTGTATCAGCCACTCATTCCAGCCGATAGGCCAAGGCCGGATCGTCCAGCATTCCATCCTTCAAGATAAGCACTCTAACCCAGCGCGAGAGTCTGACACGCGTTAGCTTACGCTGCGGCGCAGCAAACCGGGCGCCTAGCGTCTGCGAAACACGCCAGATAAATATGCGATCGCCAATGTTGAACCACTCAACTTGAACATCTCCCCAGAAACCAATACAAGCTCTTCAAGAAGAAAAGAGAAGCTTCCTCCTTGGGAGGAACCCCGACAACCCAGCCCGGAACTCAATTGCGACACTCAATCTCAACATCACGATGGCTTCGCAGACCCCGCCACCAGAAACCGGCCCCAATCCGCCGCGAGAATTCCCAGACCCCGCAGAATACCTCGACGACCCGCGCTTCAACCGCAAATTCACCCTCCCCCCGACTCCCGACCTCCCGGAGGACTTCCAAGTAACATACGCCGACTTTGGCCACATCGACTCTTCAGACCCGTCCTCCACACACGTCCTCCTCCTCTGCGGGCCCCTCCTCGGAAGGTAAGACATCCTATCTCATCCCCATCTCATCCCATCTCACACACACATCAAGCCGTTATCTCCACATCGCCAAAGACACCCTCGCCAAACGCCACAAAGTCCGCATAATCGACATCGACCGCCCAGGCTTCGGCGGCACCACCCCGGTGCCTCCCAACCTGCGCATCCGCGCCTGGCTGGCCATCGTGCCCGCGCTGCTCGCCCACCTCGGCGTCCGCCACGTCGCCCTCGCCGCGCACTCCGGCGGCACCCTCTACGCCCTCAACACCCTGCTGCACCACCGCCACCTGCTCTCTCCGTCCCGGCCGTATGTGGCGCTGTGCGCGCCGTGGGTGCACCCGTCGCACTCGGGCGCCGCGATGATGAGCCTCACGAGCAACCTGCCGCAGGGCCTGGTCGGGTCGTTCGACAAGGTGGCCGGCTTCATGGTGCGCAGCCTCGTTCCTGCGACGGTCGGGTTCAGCAACGCTGTGAGCGGCATGTTGAGCGGGATCGTGCCGAGTCTCGCGGGCACGCCGGCGGAGGAGTATACCGCGCCCGGGGTGACCGACGTGCGGCTCGCGGAGTTTGAGGAGAAGATCTGGGGGACGTTGATTAAGCGGGTGTATGCGGAGAGCGTGCAGGGGCTGGGGCAGGATGCGGTGCTGCTGCTGAAGAGGGATGGGAATGAGACGTTCTGGGGCGAGTGGGAGGACTATGATAAGTTGGTGCCGCTGTTGGCGCAGCAGGAGGGGGAGCTGGATGGCGACGGGTTGGAGGTTGAGGTGTTCTTCGCGGCGTCGGATGCGATGATTGGGACAGGCGACGGGCCCAAGTGGTTTGAGCAGTGTTGGAGGGAAGAGCAAAGGGGGGAGAGGATCAAGTTCTCGAGCTCTGTGATACCGAAGGCGGATCATGATTCGATTGTGAGTTTGCGGTTTGATGTGTTTGAGCGGATTATTCGGGGCGTTGGAAGCGTAGCTGAGGAGGCGTCTCCTGTTTCTGCAGAGCAGACTGCAGCTTGATGCAACCAACATTACACATCATCAGTTGCAAACGCAATGTCAGCATCATTTCTAAATTCCCTGAAGTTCCCCCTCTTTCAGCCCTTTGAATCCAACCCTTACTCGGTTCCCTTCAGCACAAACATATCCCCAGTCCACCCGTAATTCCTATTCAACCGCCGCCCAATCCGTCTCGCCACCACGAACGGGATCTTGCTGTACGGATGCGGCTCGTGGAACTGGATCCGGCTCTGGTCTCCGTCCGTCCGCTCAAACTGCCACACGGACCCGTACAGCTTCTCGGCGGCGAAGATGCCCGTCCCGGTCATGGCGTGGAGGAAGTCCTTCCACGAGACCTGGCCCGGGTGGGACGTGACGTTGGGGTCGAAGAACAACGTGCGAAAGACTTTGAAGGAGCGGGCATCGACGCAAATTGGGGATGAGACCGGTTCGTTGCTCGCGTCTGCGTCTGCGGTAGGGATGGATGTTTCTGCTAGGTCTTGTGATGCGGCGCCCTTCGTTTTCTTCTTCGTCTTGGGAGGCCGAGTTACATCCTGTGCCGCCTCTCCTGATTTCTCAAAGTAGAGTGTGGACAGCGGCCGATAAATCATGTCCGTCTGAACGTCCGTCGGCTTAGGCTTCTTTTCTCCGGTGGCTTCTGGCTCGTCAACCCACTTGGGGGTGCGCTGCAGGCTGCGGTTGTACTCCAGGACATGTCTCACGGCATCCATCCACAAGCCCCCAGCCTTTTCACGTATGAGGCGGTCGACGGTTGCCCAGACCGCGTCGACGTTCCTCTCGGCTTCGATCAGCGTGGCCGTAATTGCCTTGGTCCGCCGTTTCTCCGACGGGTAGGTAAACCTATTATTCGAGGGCTCCGCCAGCCTCGCAGCGGGTAGAAGATTACTCTCTTTCAGGACTGCCATGACCCTGGCCCGCCCAGTGGTCTGCATTGCAAACTCCGCTTTCAAGACATCCCCCCTGTCCACCATCTTTGACTCGTAGCTCCGTGCCCACGGCTGATAGAGGTCCAGCTGGGAGATGCACTGCGAGATGATGGACAGGTTGCCGATGACGCTGGCAATGTACGGACTAACCAGCTCCTTTGCCTGCGGCTCCGCGTGCAGCAGGCGTTCCAACTCGTCAAGAACCAGGGGCATGCTCGCGAGGAAGAGATTTTGGCCGTCTTCCCAAAGGGTGCGGAGGAGCCACATCAGCTGCGTCTCGATCTTGTTCATCTTCACCCCGCCCTTCATCTTGATGCTGATGAATGTAGCGTTTACGGGCGGATCGCGCGTGACGAAGCGGCGCATCGGCGGGGAGGCGACGACGCTCTGCTTAAGCTGCCCAAGCGGTCCCTTCGCTGCTTCGTTGAGGAAGAAACGGAATTTGAGGAGGCAGTTCATGACCTCGTCAGGCAGATCTTTGGACAAATCTATCGACCCGGCGTGAGCGGCAAGAACCCCCCGCAGCTCCGACGCGAGCTCGTGGAGTTGCGTGTAGACTTCGAGCTCCTCGTACGCCCTGGCCACAGTCTCCGCGACCACGCGGGCCCAGAATGTTTCCTGATTGAGGCGGCTAAGTGTGGGATGCGCGCTACCGTTGATGTCTTTAATCATCTCTTGCCGATGCTCTTTGATCTCGGCGAGCTGCTCTGCAAAGTATCCCGGGTCCTCGCGGAGCGACCAAATGTGGTCTCTCGCAGCCGCCACCTTGGCACCGAGGAGGGACTGAATCCGGTCGAGGTCGAGGCGCGCGGGCAAGCGGTAGGGGGCTTCTGCCGCCATTGCCGCCAACGAGTCAAAGCCGTCCGCCTCCTGCTCGTTTTTGAACTCGGGCTCCGGCTGGACGGGGAAGGCGTCCGTGGCCAGGGTGTCAGAGGGGATGTCGTGGAGGATGAGCTCGCAGCACTTGACTAGGAAACTCAGCGTCCTCTCCTGCGCTTCGAGGATGAGAAGGCCCTCGCCAGGCATGAATTGTCTGCGGCTGTGCATCCATTCAAAGGCATCGGGATGGTCCTCCCACGCCACCAACTTCCCATACTCACGGGCGTCGCGGGCCCCGTGAAGAATCATGACGTAACAATTGAGGAACACCGCGACAATCCTCTTGGTGACGCAGCCGAGGTGCATGGCGTCGTAGTCGGCGCCCGCGAACTCGGAGGGATGGTGCCGGCCCCGCGCGTTAAGCAGTAGCAGAAGTGTCTTCGGCTTCAGCAGGTCTTCCTGGTTGATGTACGGCCACATAAAGCAGTCTCTATCATAGGTGCTCCGGCGAGCAGCCAACGACGACTCCTGCTTGCGCCAAGCGTCAAAGTCGGGACGGTGCACGGAGGCCATCCCGGGGCCCCAGGCTCTCGTGAGAGTATCGAGCCGCTGATGCCTCTTCTTCCGCGACCAGCGGTGGTGGATCGCGGGCTCGTGGCGTGCGATGATGGCCTGCAGGCAGTCGTAGCTTGCCAGTAAAGAGGACGACAGTGACTCTGCCTCCTTGCGGACCTCGGCCGGGGATTTGTGCGGAACGTCCATGCCTAGGAGTTTGGACATTGTGGCTGGATCGCTGAAGTCCATCTTGTCGAAGTCAAGATCGGGGAGGTCATATTGCGCAAGTTCATCATCGGACGCGAAAGGGTTGAATTGGTGGTTTGGACGAAGTTCCATTTTAGCGTAACTCTTGACGCTCAGCGAGGGAGTTAAATACGAGAGAGCCCTTCGCGGATTAGCTAAGCGAAATGGAGCTACTGTGAGGTTATTCCAGAGAGGGCAGGAGGGCTTCTGAGGGCAGGTGTGAGGGCAGGTGTGATGGCAGCAAGGCAGCAGGGCCACGGTCCGGTGATTTTGCTGAGGGAAAGTCTGCCTCGATGTTCTGGTACCTTAGTGATAAGAGCGCTTGAAAATCAGTGGTTGAGCCTTCAAATGTGGTGCAGCACAGCTTCACAATATTATCGTGAAGTTGAGAAATGAGGGTCGATCTCCCTTCACACAATTGAAAACGCCTCATTCAGCCCCATCGAAGTTCGCACTGTGGCGGGGGCCTTTCCGTTTGATGGCACATGAAGTAAGTATCCGTCCGATTCATCATGAAACTGAAGCCGATGAGAATGCTTTTTGGTGAGTTGTTAGGATGCCTACATGAGAAGCCGGTAACATACAGGTCTTCACTGAATCACGGAAGCTGACAGTTGAGATGACGACCTACTTCTTCATGGCAAAGCCAAGCAAACACCGCTTGTCTTTCGAAAATGTCTCGCTTTCCCAATGGCTTCTAGAATGTCTCTTCAAAAACTCTACTTCGTCAGATACCGACCCCCACAACTAGTTGAGGGGTAGTGAGGAGATTGAGTTCACGAGCATGATGGAAGACTTTGGGAGAAGCCTCGGTCCGCTGGTCAACTGCTTTTCAGGCCTCGAAGCTCTGTCTTTGAGTTTCATGCTCTGTTGGGGGATGGTAGAGACGGTAAGAAGTTTCTAGCAAACATATGGAGATCTCCTAGATAGCGATCTTCTCAATTGGGAAAATTCTATCCAAAAGAAAGGCGTTCGTCCCTGGACCGTTGACATTAAAGATGCCCGTTGGTTGGGGACTCCGAGACAAAGCGTTCCAGCACCCCAAAAGACCCCCAAGATGGCATCTGTTAGCAACCCCACCACGACCCCGGCCCGTCCTTATCTCGCCCCATCACCAAAACCCCACATCCTCGGCACGCACGCACAGACCAACGGCCGCCGGGCAGCTCCACCACCCAAAGCTCCCCAAAGTAAAGAAGCTCCGGCAGCGGCCAAGCTCTCTCACTCACTCACACCAACCAACCAGCCAAGCTACCTTCAACCTCATCTCACGCCTCCCTCATCAAAACCACAAAACATCTCACCATCAACACCACGAAACTCCGCCCAAAATGCCAACAAAACTCACAACATCATTCTCCCTCCACATCCCCGCCACCCCCCTCTCCCCCTCCTCCTTCGCTCCCTTCGGCGACGTAATCGCCAACCCGCACCCGGACATCCGCCCCTCCCCCTCCCTCCCCTCCACCCTCTCCCACAACGCCGTCTCCGCGAACCAACACACCGCAATCAAGTACCAAAACGTCTCCGCCCCAAAGGACCTCTACGCCCAAGCCCCCTCCGCCGCCTCCAAACCCATCGTGTCCATCTTCTCCTGCGCCGCCCGCCAGCTCCAGCAACCCCCCTCCCCCTCCGGCAACCCGCCCATCTCCACCCTGCTGCCCTACACCTACGCCGGGCCCTCCCGCGCCGGCCTCTTCCGCGTCGACATCCTCGAGCGCCACCCCTTCACCACCCAGACTTTTGTGCCACTGGCGGCGTCCGCGGGCGTCCCGCACGCCGCCTACCTCGTCATCGTCGCGCCCACACTCCCCGCGGAGGGCGAAGACTCCTCGCTGCCGGCGCCGAAGACGGGCGGCAAGGGCCCCGGACGACCTGACCTCGCGAACCTGAAGGCCTTCGTCGCGACGCCGGGACAGGCGGTGACGTACGGCGCCGGGACGTGGCACGCGCCGATGGTGGCGTTGGGCCCGCCCGGCACGGCGATCGATTTCGTGGTGACGCAGTTCGCGAGCGGCGTGGGCGTGGAGGATTGTCAGGAGGTGGTGATCGAGGCGCAGGGCGAGGGGGTTGTGGTGCAGGTGCCGGAGAGGATGCCTGTTGCTAAGTTGTGAGCGCTGGTGTGAGGATGAGGTGTTGAGGGGTTAGGGAAACGAGGAGGAGTTCATCTACGCCGACTTCTTGCTTTTGAGTGTTTGGATCTTCAGGCTTGGTCATGTTTGAAAATCTTTCGGTCAGGCTGGGGTCAGGCTGGCGTCAGGCATGTCTCGGGAAATGGCGTCGCATAGATAAATCACCAAATTGAGACACAATTGAAAGTTCGATAGATCATTTACGGTCCGATGTGATATTAAGGGGGGCAGCAGGAGGCATGCTACGATTCGCACTCGGGGCCTTTGCCTCAGCCAAAGGGCTCAGGACAACCTCTACAACACTGAGCAGAGAATCACACGATGGGAACACAGCATTGGTGATCAATGATCTTTGATGTTTTCTGAGCTAGCAATCCTTAATGACAGTTCCGTTTCGCAAATCCATAACGTGACACTCTACAATCCAGGCCTCCAATCCTTGGCCATTTCCGGTTACTCAAACAGAATTCAACCCCATTCAATTGGGTTCATCCACACTCCAAATCTCATGACCTCCGAACTCGGTCGTAAACAAGCCCAATTTGTGCCCTGCGCGAACATCTTCCAATCTGTGCATAGCCATGCGCTCGCGGCAACTTCAGCAAATCCTCGTAAACGACATTCCTCCCAACTCTATCCAGCGCAACCTTTACTCCATCTCAAACTCCTCAAACTCGACAGAGCTTAGAAGCCTCTCGGACTGAACCTCGTTTATAAAAGGGCGGAACATGATGGGGTAGTGCGGGCTGACGGGCGCGGGGTCTGCGAGAGGAAGATCAACACGGCCAGGGATTTCGCCCCAGTCGGTCAGCTTTCCCTTCAAGCGCCTGTTCATGGCGTCGAACTCGAGAGTGCCCAGAGATGCAAAGTGGTATACAATAACGCCCTTCATTTGTCCCTGGCGGACAACTCTTCCCTTTGCCTGTCTCATGTACATGTCGTAGTTGACCGTGTCGGTGCTGAGGGCACCGGCAAACATGACGTGGTTCGCTTCCACCAGGTTGGTGCCAGCGCTCTCGGCAGACATGAGACTCTGGATGAGGACAGCGGTGCCTTTGTGGTTTTTGAACGCCTCAATCTGTTCAGGGTCGTTCTTGGCTCCATTGGTAAGGTACACCGCAAGACCTTGCGACGTCAAGAATTCCCGAAGTTGAATCTTGATGCCATTGTAAGCTGCAAAGATGAGAACCTTCTCATTGTAGGGCGCGATCTCGTTCTGAATCACGTTGTGCACTGACTTGACCTTGCTACTGGGCTCAGCGGCAAGATCATCATTCAGATTGTACTCAGGATCGTGAATGAGCATCGACCACGGAATGAAGGTGCTTTGAGACATGGCCGTGCAGCCTCCTTGAGAAGGGCACTTCTCGCTGGCCAGACTGCTGAATTCTGCAAAACAAGTGCCGCAGAGCGTATGACCGCATGCGACTGACAAAAAACCTTCGTTCAGATCGGTGATCTGGTTGGAGCACTTGTTGCATTCGACAGCGAAGCCTCCGTAGGCCTCAAGATTGCGATGCATGATCAGGCAAGCCTTCATGGCGAACAGACTTCTTCTCCATGCATCAGCTGTGACCATAATGCCGGACTCGATACTCTGAATGACGAGCATGAAGCAGTCGAGGGTCTGGTCAACAAGCGATGATCGCACAGTGTGTTTCGTGTTGACTTTTGGTCGCTTCGACGAAAGCTTGACGCCGAACTCGAATGCCTTGCCCTCATTCTTCTCCTTGGCCTCTTTGGCCTTCTTGGTCTCTTTGGTATCTTTGGCGTCTTCGTCCTTGGCCTTGAAAAAGTTCTCGACCTTCTTGTCCATGTTCTCGTTGATATCTGTCTTCTTGAGACCAACGGCGCTAGCAATTCGTTTGCGTTTTCTCGGGTCATCCTGGAGTGCAACCAGCTGTCGGATAAAATCCTTCTTGTCAATAGGATCGTCTGGGGAAATATGAGGAAGATGGTGCATCAGTCCGCTGACTTCTTCGTCCAGAATGTCGTCAACATCTGCCATCTTCCACCAATCTGTCTGATCATACCGGCCTGGGCCACCCTTCTCTCTCGCCCAATTCTCAGCGTCCCACAACAAACGACCCCGAGGCACGACGTAGCGGTAGTTGGCGCCGTTGATGTGCTTCTTGTGAATGATAGTCTCCCTGACGTTGCGCATGCAGTCCACGTCCCCAAAAGCTCCCCCATCAGCTGCGCGAAAGTTCGCGATGAGCTTCTGCATATGCTCCATGTAAGCAGCCTCCCTCTTGCTGCGAGTGTCGTCCCGAGGCGAGCTGTCCTTCTTGATGATGTTTGCTAGGAACATCATCAAATCAATCAAAGACGAGAGGGTTTCTTTACAATGATTGAAATAAGCCATGCCCCGCATATTCGACCCCGTGGTGATGGTATTTGCGGTCACGGCTTGGTTGCCAGGAATCCATTTGAACGCGTTGTATGAGGCTGATACCGATGCCAAAATGTTCAGGGCATCGATGGTGCTTGCGTACGCAGACTCCTTAGACCCTGTGACCTTCTGGCCCGCTCGGCTTCCCTTCTCATTGCTGAGGGTGTTTTCGATCAAGTTTGCAAAGTAACCGGTGACGCCCTGTTCATGCCACATGGCGTCGCGGAGAGCTTGCTGGACCAAGTTGTAGATGATGGTCTCTTGAGGGTTCAAAGTAGACAGAACGATACGTTCAATGACGGGAATGTCGGAAACGTCTGTCTCGTTCTTCCGGAAGAAATGCTCGACGAACCGTTGTCCCTGCTGGTGTCGCTCCAGCGCGAACTGGGCCGATGCACAATCGCGGAATGCGAGAAATTCCTCGCCCTGCGTCAGCTCAGCTACCTCGGGTCCATTGGTAACGTAGGGAAAGTATCCAGGCGTGGGAGCAACCCGAGCGACATGAGAGTTGATCAGCGAGCCGATCTTGCAGAGCTGACCGAGACTGCCAGTCGGCGGGGTACCAGAAAGGATCCATTTCGACGAAGCAATAACGTTCTGGAAAAACAGCGAAGCGCCAAAGTTCTCGTATGAGAACTCATCGTAGACGACTCTGCGAAAAGTGCACATCTGCAGTAACCGTGCTGTCTTAAACAGACCAAGCTTTGGAACTTCCTCCTGAGATTTTGTCGCGGCAGCTGCAGCAGCTTGCTGCTCCTTGGTTGGCTCCTTGGATCCCTTCGATGTGGTTGTAAGCTGGGCCTTTCGAGAACTTGGGCCGACATTGTTCAAAGCTGCCTCTTCGGCAATTCTCTCAGATGCGAGTCTAAGGTTTTCAAGACGACGCCGCAGTTCTTCCTCGCTTGTAGCGTCTGGGTTTTGAAAGTCGAAGCCGACATTTCTTAAGGTCTCCAGCGCTGCGCAGTACCATTCCTGCTTAGAACGATCGGTCCCTTTAGCAAGCTTGGGAAGCCCGGCCGCGGCAGCCAGAGCCGTCATGGCCTTGTCATTGGTCGGGCCAACTGTGCTGACAATAATAACGTCTGCCTTGATCAACTTCTCCCGCTCAATATCAGTGGCCTTCCGGATGACGTGGATTCTTCGCTTAGAACCGAGGAATCTTCTGGCCTCGGACGCCCACTGAGTAATGATATGATGGGGGACCATGACCAGAGTTGCCTTCAGGTGCAACAAGCGGTTGCCATTCACCAACCGGTAGCGCTCCTTTATCGATTCGATGGTGTCTTGGGGCTCGCCGAGCTTGTAATCAATCAAAGCCAAGGTGATGATGGTCTTGCCATAGCCGATGTCGTGTGCCAGGACACCTCCTCGCGTGCAGTTCTGGACCTGGGCTACCCCGTACATCCGCACGTTCACGGATGGCAACAGAGTCTCCTCAATCTCGATCTCTGTAAATCCGTCCTTTCCGCTCTCTCGTTCCAGCATCCAGTTGACGGCAGCGAGCTGGTCATCTCTCAGCCTTAAATTCTTTGGAAACGACGGGGGCTGGATCTTGTTGACGTGGTTGATGCTCGATGTCGGTTGCAAACTCTGGCTGAACGGGACCAAGCTCTTCAGGCTCGGGTCTCGGAACGCGAACTGCACTTGAAATGAACCAGTGCCGAATGCCGATCTGCAAGCCGCCGACATTGTGGTGGCATCTCTTGTGATGTAACCCAAAGCGCGGTGAATTAGCGACATTGGGTTGATATCGATGCGCATATTGAGAAGCAACCAGGGAGACGGGTTGCAATAGCTTTGTTGAAGCCACGCTTCGATGTTGAACGGAGGCTTCCTGTTATTCTCATTGCGGTTGATCTCGGCAGCGGCCTGTTGATCTTCGTATCGGTCAATCGTGCCATCGTCATTGATAACGTTGTGAATCTGCGATTTTCCGACGGGACAGGTGGAGCACTCCTCATCGGGACGCAAGGAAAGCCGAACTCCATCAACTGCCAGCCGGTGACCTTCCTCAGGGGTGACTTTGTTCAGAGCATAGGCAACAAGCTCGAGAGCCTCCTTGGACCGGTGGTCGGCGACAGGCACCCAAGGCTCCTCTCCTCCAACCATAGCTCCATTCCAAATCACCGGGAGAGACGGCGTAGGAAAGTGGATATCTTTGACATTCAGTCGGAGTTGAATGGCGGGCTGGGAAATTCCGCAAGAGTCAGGCTCGAACGTCTGCTGGGAGAAGTCGTTCAATTCCACATTGTCATGTGGACTCTTCTCGGTTACACTGATCCGAAAACCTAGATGCAAGGGTATCCAAGTCCCAGGAAGGTGGGCTTGAATGTGCCGAGCACTATCGAAGCTGCTGTCGCCACAGGGATGGCTGTAACCTTTGTCGAAGGCCGTGACAATTTCTCTGTGCTGATCAGGTTCCAGCTTGCGAATATTGTCGGTGATAACCCATAAGTCTTTATCGGTAGCCTTACCGGGCTCGACGTGCTTGATATGGTAGATGCGCTTCGAAGCTTGATCGTCTCGGACGTAAAGCAATCCACCTGGAGTTGCGCAACGGTCTGTGAATATGAAGTTGCCATTGACTTCGTGGCTGAGATCGCCGATAAGCTCGGTGCTGTTATCGACAGATACGAGTGTTTGTCGAAAGCCAGGGACATCAGCCATGATGGGCTCCTGGAGAAGCTGAACATAGATCTTCCTCTGTGCGAACAACTTCTAGTCGCTCGGGGCAGGGATAAAAGAGTCCTCCATGTTGTGGTAAATTAAGGTTGCGCTCATGATCGGCTTGCCGATGTCGTAGTTGAGGTCGCGAAGCAGGCGTCTCGGGTCTTGGGCGGTCGAATCCTCGGCAAAGTAAGCCTCTCTCAGGAACACGTTCCAGACGACCTTGTCGTGGTACACTGTGATGGCAATGCGAGATTTGCGAGATTCGTAGGTGACGTCAATGTCCTCCCGGAACTTCAGATCCGTCAGGTAGTACGACACATTGTCAACGCAGGTGTCGATTGCCATGTTCAAGGCGTCAGTATGGTCGCGAAAGCCCTTCTCAGTGAGACCCTTGGCGAAGTCCTCATTTTCGACTGGATCGCAGTTGAGATCAATCTTGCCGGGGAAGGAGGCAACGGCTTCTCGATAGGCACCCTCTCTGTCGTTGGCGAGGTTGTCGATGGGGATAGGCTCCTCGCAGAAGTGATGGTCTGGATTACCGGCGCAGGATGTGCAGCGAATTTCGCCACAAAACTCGCATTGATGATAAGTCCCAGCTCGCTGGTGCTTGCGGTAGGCGTCGCAGAGGCAGGCGCGTCGACCCGTCTGCCACAGGTAGAGCAGCTTCCAAACCTTCAGGGACGACTCCCATCCGTTCATGGTGGCGATCACCCAATCCGGCTCGTCCATGTCTGAGTCGTTCGAGGGTGATTCGGGTTGCGCGTTGGGGTCGGTAGGTGTGCGAGGAAGAGTTTGGTTGAGGGCGTTGAGGTCAAGAGCGTTGCAAGAAGTCGCGGACGAGGAGGGACCCACTTGGCCACTCGGGGCAGGTGCACCGGCAAGATCCATTGGCAGCAGCTTGCTTGCGTCTCCGAATCCATGAACAAAGCCCGTTGTCGTAGCCATGTTGACCTCTGAGATGAGGGCCAGGAGCAGAGCAGCACCCGCCACAGTCGTTGTCATGGCGTTTCCACCAAGGTCCTTGAGTTGCCTATCCGTCTCATCAGAGACCTTGATCCTGTCGATGGGAATTCCCTGCAGAATCAGGAATTCCGTTCCAAGCAAACATCGCCCGAGTCGAGAAAGGAAGAAGTCCGCGCTCGGAATGAGACAAGGAACATTTCCCAGAGACTTGTGCTGTCTGTCAACGTTCTGACCCAGGTCAATGATGATGAATTTGCTGCCGTAGTCCAGGCCCATCTTCTCCGAACGAAGGAGCGAGATGTCGATGAGTTCCTTCATGCGAAAGGTCAGCTTGCGAGAGATGTACACCTTCCAGCTGTCTTCCCGGGGGAGGGAGTTGCCGCGGTTGTCCAGACGTGTGTATGGGTTGCTGTTTCCCAAGCCTTCGGACCGGCGCGCTGCGACGTGTTCCATTTTGCACATGGAAGCGTCTCCGACATTCTCGGCCTTGCCGCTCAAGCCGCGCTCCAGAATGAAGCGTCCCTGGAGGACGTTGGGGTCGGACGGCGGGAGGAGAAAGCCTTCCAGCTTTGGGAACTTCTGGAACCAGTTGGGCTTTCGCATCATCTTCACCCACTCGTCGACAATCACCTTGCCCTTCATGCCGTAGCGACGCGCGTCAACGGCGATCAGGTATCCGCGGTTGCGTGTCTGGGGGACGAGAAAGTTCTTGGAATCCACCACCACATGTGAAGCATGGTAGCCGATCCTGGGAAACCAGAAATTGACGAACTCGCGCCAGGGGGCGCTCTGCACGTTCTCCATCAGCACCACCTTGGGTCTTTTCTTGTTGATCCAACTCAGGATCGAGAGGAACGTCTTGGCCGATTCGGTTTCATTGTCAAGGCCCTCCCCAAGTTGCGCGAATATCTGCAGAAAATCGTGGTCCTCCTCGATCGCGACACCTTTATTCACGCCCTTTTCCATGGCTTTCTTCACAGCCTTTCTCATTTCAGACTTGTCTTCCTTCTCCTGCTTCTTCGGATTTAAGCTCGAGAAATCGACGCAGGAACTTCCAAAGAAGAGCATATCAACGTGTGGCGGAATCTTTTCCATGGAACCGGATGCTGTCATTCTGTGAAGCTGTTAGCGAATCTTGTCAAATTCCTGTGCCAAGATGGTCTGGACTTACGCATATCGCGCATCGGGGTGGCCGACATCCATAACGTTGCGGTAGATGTGACCAGTGGGGCGAGCGTTGCGGTCGATGAAGGCCTGCTTGAAAGGCTCAATCTCGACACTGAAAACATGCTCGTATCGAAGGGTTCCGCCAAGTCCAAGGGCCGTTAGCCCATCCATGAACTCTTGGAGTGCCATGATAGGGGCGTCTGTGCCAGAGCACATGGTGCCAATGGTGAAAGCGACTCCACGCTTCTTCAGCACTTCCAAGAGACCGAGCATGAGGGCCTTGTCGAGGATCAGGGGGAATGCGTCTCTTGGGCGATAAACGGAACGCTCGTCTTTGACCTCCTCGGGATGTTTAAGCTTCAGGTTGGTGCTCGGTGAAACGGGGAGGTCGACAGGGCCATCACTCCAGACCTTCGTCATGATGTCGCGAAGAAAAAAGTAATCCACACCGTCGAATTGGCTGAAATCAGCATCCGGTCCCAGGACCTGATACAACGCCAACGCGTCTTGCAAGCTTTGGAGCAAGGGGTCATCAACGAGGTTTTGTATGGTGCCGAAGACAGCCTCTGGCACGTCGTGGAGGAAACCATCAGAAAAGTGGCTCTGAGACGGGTCCGCATCCTCCTGAAAGGGCTTGTTCGCAACGGGCGCTTGATCAGCTGGCTGGTGGTCATAGGCAACTCGCTGATGGTCTTGAGCAGCTGCCTGATGGTCTTGATCAACTGGCTGGGATTCTTGAGCTGGCTGGGGGTCTTGACCATCAGTGATGGCAGCACAAGACTTCTCCGGCTGGTCGCCAAAGTTCTGGTGGGCACCAATCGGATCAGCATTCTGGTTGTAGTCGACATCTTGAGCCGTTTGGTCATAGCCAAGGAACTTGGCCAAAAGATCGTCAGGGAGGTTTTTCTCGGTATCAGGGAGGTCTCCCCAAAGACCAGCAGTGAAGTTCTTTGGAATGTCAGGAAGTGGCATCTCTTCATTGATATCAGGCATGGGCTGCTGAAGATTCCACGAGGCGTTGTTGAAGTTGAGGTTGCCTTGGGGAACAAAGCCATGATCTTGGAGAGGGGCTGGATACTGTCCGTCGATGGTGAGTGAGTTCGGGCCATTGGTAGCATACGCTTGCTGGTTCTGGGATGCAGTAGGATAGCCACCGTTGGTCGAGTTGGCTGGCATTTGATCAACGGAACCATGACCTTGAGGCTGTTGAAGAACGCCAGAGCTTCCCTCGTTCGACAGGACATACGGCGTTGCTCCGATGGGGTGCTGATACTGAGGAGGGCCGTTGGAACCAGGATTGTTGTAATCTGAAGGAGCGAGAGCGTGAGGGTACAAGGAAGAATCAAGATTCCCTGAGAGGGCAGCGAAGCCGTAAGGATCCTGCTGGTTGAAGGGGGACTGGGGGTCGAAGCCATATTCAGCGAAGCCGCCGTTGTCAGGAGGCATGTAATCCAGGTAGGTACGGTATTGATCGTGCTGCTGGGGCGCATTGGGATTGAAGCTGTCATGGTTCTCAGCAGGAATCTGCTGGCCATGGGGAAACTGATTGTGTTGGCCGCTGTCGGAAGCAACATAGCCGTTCTGAGGAGAAGTGAGGTTCTCGGGATTGCCAACCTGCTGCTCGTTCTGGCCGACGTCGCCACCGAAGTAGTCGCCAGGATTCATACCCGCCTCGTCGTCAGGTCCGCGTCCATTCTGACCAAACGCATGGCCAGGAGGCATGCCGTCTTGGGACATCTTGATGATGATCCCTGTTGGCGCTTGGGGAGACGAAGTCGGAGATGGGTAGCAAGGGACTGGGGAAATGGGCAACAAGTGTATGGAAGGGGTTTCTTTTCGAGGGCGGCGGAACGCTCCAGAAGGTTGGGAGGGGCAAATTCGATGCTTCTGATGATGCAAACAACAAAACCTGTCCAAGATCCGCCAGGAAGCTGGAGATCTTTGATGGTTTTGATGATCTAGCAACAGTGAAGAATGAAGGAAGGGTTTGTGAAAGGATGGTGGTGATGGGAGAAAGAGGTGGGAAAGCTGCGAAGGTGGGAGAGGGAAGAGAAGGAGGAATTTTGTTTTATCTGATTTATGTTTGACCAAATCGACCTGTGGGCAGCCTCTTACGCCAAAGGGACCCGCGTGTCTGTATCCTGAAGTGCCTTCACCCTCCTCGAGAGGCCTTCAGAGGCCTTCAAAGCGGAGAAGGGTTACCGCATGTGGTTAATCATCAGGGCTTGAGCAGGTTCCGGGCTCTTGGTTAAAGGAGAACAGGTATCATGAAGGGCGAGAGCAGAGCGGAGCAGTTGCTTCTGGTTGTTGAGGAAGGTCCCTCACCCTCTTTGCTCTCGCCTCGGAAGTTTGGAAGCGCTGCTACTTGAGGAACACCTGTGAAGAGAGGCAAGAACTGCTGGGTAGAGGAGAAGCACAATGGACAGAGCTTTCTCGAGTGTCGTAGTTCCCAGCTACATGGTGCTTCATAATGTATCTCTGCTCCTGGATTGGCAGAATAGTTTACCTGTCACTTGAATTCAGCTCACACTGGCTCTGAACACTTTGCAACAGGTATTCTGCCCCTGAAAAGGAGACTTGGAAATATCGGCCTGGGTATCGAAGGAAAAGCAACTATGGACATGCTATTACTGGGAAATCAAACCCAGCATCATTGGGTGCCAGAGACCCAAATACTACATCTCTGGTCTAAGATGTATGAACGGGACTTGTGAATCAAGACTGAAATCTGCAGGTTTTCTTGACAGGGCATCTGCACATTGCAGTCTGCCGGCTTGCTGTGTGGGAGCCTGAAAGCAGGCTTTATGCAATATTCCTAAGCTGCATCTGAGTGCCAGCTTTGTGCTGGCTTTTGATTCTGTCATTAA